GACGGGGTCTCGGTCTTGCTCAGGCTGGTCTCGAACTCCTGACCTTGAGCGATCCACCCGCCTCGGCCTCCCAGAGTGCTGGGATTACAGGCGTGAGCAGGTTACCCACATTTTAAAAAAGACTTTAAAAGTGGAGATCAGACTGTTTGGCCCTGACTTTGTCTTTGGGATGACATCAGAGATGAGATTCACAGATGCCAGACACTTTTGCTCGGAGCCCAGGCCTGTCCGTGCTGTGGACACGACAGGTGCGGGCTCCAGGGCAAGGCTCCCCGCTTCACAGCAGTGACCTCCCAGGCTCAAAGGGAGGAGCCAGGGACTCCCCCATCCTGGTCAGGTGACAAGGCACGTGGGGTGCAGATGCGGGTTCCCCTGCTGGTCCCTGGGTGCTCACATCCTACCTTGATCCTCCCTGCTGCCTCCTCCCTTGCCATTCCTGTGAAGACCCTGTGTCCATCTTCCTAGATCCTTCTGCAGGGCAGGGTCCCCACCGTAGCCCCACCCCGCTCGGGGCTGCAGGGAGGACCGAGCAGGGAGGATGAAAGCAGAGGCAGTACTTGAGCGCTTTCTCCTCCACGAGGAGGGCCTGGCTGGATGCCATGGCTGGACTGCAGGAAAGGAACCTGCCAAGCACAGGCACAGCACAGCTCAGCAACTGCTGTCAGCCAAAAAGATGCCCGCGAGCACTTTTCTAATGCCAAGAGAGAAACGGAGCACTTTCAGACCCAAGGGAGCACTCACACTATCCTAATTGGGCTTCCCCAACAACTAGTGAGGGGGTGACATCTGGGCCCCTCCTAAGGAGCTCTGGTGTCCCTCCTGCTGAAGATTGAAGTCCAGGACCACAACTACTACGTAACTGCACCTGTGGGAAGGGCCAGGACAATGCTGGGCTCTTCTTTCATTGAGTAGCAGAGCTTTCAAAATGAAAAGGAAACCACATGCAGAAAAGCACCCAAATTCACACGAAACAGGGGCTGCTCTAATACACAATTGAGATTCGATTGTTTTCTAGTTCTGATGCTCCTCAGGGGTGGGGTTCCAAACTAGAAGTATGTTCCATAGTTCCTGGGATTCAGACGGTCATTTTAAAATTTATTCTATACATCAAGGACTTAAAAAAAAAAATCTTTGGCTATCATTTTATACCACAAGCCATTCACATATGCATGAACTGAAACATTGAGAACTTACCTCCGGAGAGGGGCATTCTCCTCAATATCTTCCAGGGTCTCCAAGGAAGATCTCTGGGAGATGAGGCGCCGTCTGCAGAGAGAGGGAAAAAAATTCTAGGACTTAAAACTGTATTGTAAAACTGACCAGACATTTCTGTAAATATCAAACTGTCCCCCAAAAATGAAGTTCATTAAAAAAAAAAAGATCAGACAAAAGCTGTCTCTAAGAGGATGCCCTATCCACACCCTGTACAGTGAACACCAGGCCCATCTTGCCTGGCTGAATTCTGAACATTCTCCCCGGGTAGAAGGCCTCTTTGTGGTGATTAGGAAAATGGCCCTTTTCATGCTACGATTTTCCCCAAAGACCAAAAAAAATAAAAATAATTTAAAAAAAAACAAGATACGTCCTGTAATATACACTATAACTTGGGCACTGTGTGTGGTTTTTCTAAAGCATACTGTTAAGTATTCAAATATCAGTGCTCTGAACCGGGTAACTGATAAATATTAAATTTTAAAACCCTATTAAATAAAACTTCAAAATCACTAGGATGCGATGAAAAAGTTATAGTCTCTGGACAGTCATGATTTCAAGAGCAACTAGAAATAGGACGAAATTATTCCTTGGGGAGAGTTTCTCAGAGACCGGTAAGAATAAATATGTGGCATGATTATGCAAAACATTACCTCTTCTGGCCTGCTAAAGAATTGCAAACCACCTGCTAACACCTCCTCAATCTACCAGTTTCTTTTGCCAGGCTGAAATAAGAACAGGTCCTAGTTAACTAAGAATATCAGGTACAGGGAGCAGGGTGGGGTGGTGGCAACTTAAAAATAAGTCCACTTGAATAAGGACCATCATTTCATAGTAAATGATTTGGTGGAGGAGGGTGGATAGGAAAGTTTGACTGTGGGTCTTTACCTTTAAAAAAAGGGGGATGGTGGACTGAAAATATAAACATAAGCCTTTTTAAAATTACATTTGACAAAATTTAGGTTAAGAACATGCAATTATAACGTTCTAATTTATTCTACAGAAGAATAAAACAACTGTTTGGTTTTTAAACATTTTGTGTATTTGTTCTGACCAACAACCCTGATACCTCTTGCTTCATGTTTTACTTTAATAAGACAATCAGAAAGTTGTTTTTGCAAACTATTCCAAGGCTCCATCAATTTTCCAAGACCCTTTCTTAATCTTTTGATATTTGAATCCTTTAAAAAATACTCCTCAGTGCCTGCACGGTGGCTATTATCTGTTATCCCAGCACTCTGGGAGGCTGAGGCAGGAGGATTGCTTGACACCAGGAGTTTGAGATCAGCCTGGGCAACAGAGACCCCATTTCTACAAAATAAAGAAATCAGCTGAGTGTGGTGATGTGCACCTATAGTTCCAGCTACTCAGGAGGCCAAGGCAGAAGGCTCCTTGAGCCCAGGAGTTGGAGGCTGCAGTGAGCTATGACGACACCACTGCACTCCACCTTGGGCAAAAGAGCAAGATCCAGTCTCCAAAAATCCTCCTCCTCCTTTTCTCTTCTCCAACTGTAAACTGGTCTAATTCTCTCAGATCCTCATTCCTCAATGTGTGTGAACCAAGCAGTTCTCCAACATTTGCCTCTTCACAATACAATGAACCTGCCACAGGACTCTGGTTTCACCTTCAGTTGACTAAAAACGAATTTCCGTTTCCATAATATTGCCAGATTTCCAAAAGTCAGCAGGAGCTGTGAGGGAGACGTTGGTTGTACCTGAGAATGGTGCAGAGGGGACCTAAGGGGGTGGGAAATTGATGTTATAGGTGTCCAGGTCATTAGTTAACAGGCCTTCCCTGTGCAGCCCCGTAACTCTGTGGACTCAGCTTGCCAAGACTCCTGTGACAAGAAGTGGCTACGAAGCACTGACGCTGTCAGGTGAGGCACAGCCCCTCTGAAATCCCAGTGACTCCTAGGAAAGCCAGCAAGTGGGTGGTGGGCTCACACCCACACCTCCCCAAGCATAACTACCTGCACGTATACATAACGAGGGGCACCGGGAAGCACCATCTCCTAAAATATTGGTGTCCCCGGGCCTCTTTGCACCATCCCCACTTAATGCCCAGGTCTCCCCGCAGCCAAGAGGTAGTGATTAAAATATTTACTCTGCTTATCTCTGGAGAATGTTCTGAGTTTTTAAATCCAAAATGAAAGACTAATTTAAGTGTGCACACCTAAGCTGTCATTAGAGATAACTTATATCCACAGGCAGAAGGAAATGTGTAGGTTTCAGATTCTGGAAAGCTCAGCACGTTCTGTCACGCTGTGTGCTTTCCTTTGCAGAACAGAATTTCCAGGTGATCAGCAAACATGCACTGGACATTTTGTTCACTCTGCAAACCAGGTAACTGACGCTTCACTGTGCCGGTGAAGGACTGCCAGCTGCCCTTCTCTGGTTAGCCTAAGGAGGTCCTAGGGCAGCTTGGGGTGGGCTCCTGGCAGCACAGATACAGCCCAGGCCCCAGCAAGGTCCAGGCAGGTTCATCCTCTCAACACACCCTCGCCCACCTGCTCAACCCACCCGACTGCGAGCCCAGCCTGCTGGGGACCACAGGTGAACCAGGCTCCACTCCTGTCCTCAAGGCCTCAGAGGCCAATGGGAATTCACAGGATGGCAACCACTGAGGAATCCCATTCACAATCCTCCCGCCGCCCCCCGTGCTGTTGGGGGCTGCAGTGTGGAGAACACTCCAGTTGAATCCCACGGTGAACACAAGGCCCTGCCGGGCAGCCCGGGACCGACAGACTCTCGCCCAACGTTCGCTCAGCCCAGGGTGTTCACCCCAGAAAAGCAGGCCCACCCGCAAAAGCACACATCCTGACAACTCCCCTCTCTAAAAGCTGCACCCAGTTCTTCCCATACTGGAAAAGAGGTGCTTATTTGGAAAATAACCAAAATAGAATATATCTTTCTATACAGTTATAGGATTTGTTTTTTTTAAAAGCCAGCATATCTGATAATTCTCCTCCTGAGTCGAACAGGCGCAGATTCTCTCACACTCACACACACACACACACACACACACGCGCGCACGCGTTACTGCAGACTAAATGTCTGTGTCCTCCCAAACTTCCTGTGTTCAGATCCTAACCCCACTGTGATGGCATTAGGAGGTAGAGTCTTTGGGAAGTGATTTTGTCATGAGGATGGAGCCCTCACGAATGGATTAGTGCCCAGGTCAAAGGGGCCCCAGAGAGCTCTCCAGCTCTGTCACGTGAGGACACAAGAAGTCGGTAGTATGTAACCCGGGGGGGCCCTCACCAGATCCCGCCCATGCTGACATCCAGATCTCAGACTTCTAGCCTCCAGAACTGTGAAAAAATAAACTTCTATTGTTCATAAGTCACCTGGTTTATTACTTTGTTAAGCAGTCTGAACTCAGACAGACACACACACACTTGTGTGTGTGCACAGGGGCACTTAAAAGTCCAGATTCCTTGAAGGGAAAATAATCCAAAGCCCAAATGCCCACCTGTTTCTCTAAATTCAGCAGATGTACTTTCCTTCTTTGTGAATGGAACCAACTAGTATGTTCTCTGAGATGCAGACACAGAGCTTGGAAAGAGACCACCAGTAGTCACTGTAAAGAAATCGTCCTACCCCGAGGTGAAGACAGGACCTGGCTGTTGCCTCCAGATTGCCCTGTGAACTGGTAGTGTAACTCAGTGGTGCTCCTCTCTGCCCCCACCACCTTGCTAGATCCTTCCAAGGTATGCAGTAACACCCCCTCCCCTCTGTCCCCAGGGGGCTGCACTGGCCGAGAAGGCTGAGGGCAGGAGGCCAATCTTAACCAGCCACTTTTCACCCTGCAATTTGCCTCCTAAACTAAGCCCATTACTATGCAAACTCCTCATCATGGGCACAGTTAACAAGCAGAGGTCTTTGCGTATTTTAATGGCTGACAAAGAATACTTAGCCTTGGACCAAAATAGCATGTTACTTTCCTAACCAAGCAGACATTCAGTAAGAGACTGGCAGGGCTCAAAGCAAAGCATTATGCACTGACATCATCCAATGGAAGTGTCTGTCTAGTCTTCAGACAGAGCATACGCTCAGGGCCCCCGACTCATCTGATAATGACAAGTCAGGATCTTCCACACTGGCCACACTTTTGAGGCCGATGTGGTTCACATTTAATGTTCATGCTTAAGTCAGCTTCCCAAAAGCACCCGGACTCATTTTACAACAATATCCTTTGAATGCCCGACTCTGAGCAAGGAAGTCATAATCCATGATATATGATCACACATTTGGACATACCTACTTGGACCAAATTAATCCCTTTATGATTAAGGAATAACACCTCATCTGTAGGTGCAAGCCACTGTATGTTCCTGGGCCCCAGGGCTGGTCACAGTGGTACTGTTATAGTAAGTCCACTTACACTGAAAGCTTAAGGAAAGGTCATTGGGGAAAGAAAGGGAGGAAAAAAATCACACAGAAAAATGTGTGGCTGGGGTCACAAAGACTAGGAGAGACAGGACCCAGGGCCAGCATTTCTAGAGTGTCTTTTAAGCACCAAGGGGTCACTGGACTTATTTCCAGGGCAGGAACAGTGGTCAATCATCCAAGCTAACTGACCAGGTGGAAGCGGGCCCAGAGGCCTGACCGTACTGAAAGGCCCTCCTTGCTAATGCTCCTGTCGTTGTCCTGGTCAGCAGCAACTTGGAGGACCCTAGGAGAGTGAGGGGCAGGATGAGAGCTGTGCATGGTCAGGGCACCCTCATCAGCTCTTTTGGAAGAGGTCCCAATTCTTCTTAGTCTGGGAAGCAGAGTGCCAGGAATGGCGGGGCGGTGGCGGGGGGAGGGTTGTTGCTGTCCCTGCTGACTAGCGAGGCTGCATCAGGGCCATCTTGGGGTCCAGTGGGACAAGCTGGTCAAGGCCGATTCCTTATGGAGTCACCTGGGGCAGTAGCCCAACCCAAAGGACAACGTAAGTCATGGGCACTGCAGGGGAAAGCTTTGGCCTGAGAGTTAGGAGCAGTGTACCACGTGGACATTAGGTTAGTTCCGTGCTCTCAATCCTGGCTGCACAGCGGACTCCCTCGGGGAGCA